AGGGTACCTTGCAACACGCTCAGGACCAAGGGCATTGACCCGAAATCGACAGTGATGGCCTCTTGCTGGCTTGCAGTCAGCACCCTGAGCACCTGTGGGGTTGTGCTGCCCCAGGCGTGGTCCTAGCCCAGCTATGTGGGGAAGCAAGCCCAAGGGTGGGATTCAGACCTCGAGACCCCCAGGGGATTGCCTTCAGCCAGGGGCAGCCAGCCCTTCGCTGATTCATTCAACAAACATTGAGCTGGGGGCCAGAGTCCCTTCACCTCCCAGTTCAGGCCTGACATCCCCCGCCTGCGCTTTGAGCCCCCTTCTAGGAGTTCTTCCTGCCTCCGATCTTGCCCCCACTATGCCATTCCACTTCCCGCTCCAAAAATTCCAGTCTCCCCCCGTTTCTCCCCATTTAAGAGCTGCTGGGGGCCCCTCGTTGCCTTGTCCCCTGTAAGATCTCCCCGGTCTAAGACCTGCCTCCTGACCCCCACCCCGCAATCCCCTGCAACCACACCAAACTCCAGCAAGTCATTGCAAAAGCTGTGATGCTCCCTGCCTGGCGTCCCCTCTGGGGCCTCACCGTGCCCCTCAAGCTCAGCCGAGCTGCCCTCCTCGGGGCCCCTCTACCGTGTTGCTTAGACACACAATGTGTTCCAGAAAACTTACCTTCAAAAACTGCACGTGCCAAAGCAGCACAGGAGGTGGGACATGCCGTAAGAAGGAAGGTAAACAGCCTTACCGACGGCTCTTGCTACAGCATTTTGTGCGTCGTTGCCCCTTACCGCCCTCCTTCGCTGTCACGCACACAGTTCACCGTCTGGAGGGATGCCCAAGGGCCACCAACTCCAAAAGGACTGCCGTCTTTGTCCCAAGGGCACTGTGTACAAGACCCACGCCCATCTTATTACTGGTATCAGCACTTCCGTTTTTCTGTCGTGTACACATTTTTTATAAAATAAGGGCAAAATGCAATAAACAGTGTTTTTTTGGGGGGGGTTAAAGATCTTATTTATTTGAGAGAAAGACAGGGATCACAAGTATGCAGAGCGGCAGGGAGAGGGAGAGGGAGAAGCAGGCTCCCCATGGAGCAGGGAGCCCAATGCGGGGCTCCATCCCAGGACCCTGGGACCATGACCTGAGCTGAAGGCAGACGCTTAACTGACTGAGCCACCAGGCGCCCCAACAGTGTTTTGTTTAATAATGGACTCCTTTCCATCATGGTGATGTCATCTAAAGTAACCCAGAGAAGCCTGCAGGCGTGGGCAGGGGGGGTGGGGGGGGGCACCTCCCTGCAGCACCATTGGAAGCTTCTGTCACTGCCCAGCCCTCAGCCTCTGCACTGCTGGAATTGGACGCGGGTAGCCCTCTCCCACGAGGACTTGACCCGTTCTGGGCTTGCAAAGTAGGGTGTGAGCAGACAGTGACAGGGTGACAGCCACTTGGCTCGGTCAGCTTTCGCAGAACTGGGAGTTGAGTCGCTCACGGATAGGGAAAGTTCAGGTTGGAGTGGCCTCAGGGACAAGCACAGCCAGGGGCTCCCAGCTCAGGGACCAGAGCTCCCTTCTCCCCCAGCAGAGTTGGGCCATGGGTCCCATCTGCATGCTGGTCCCTTGCGAGAGGGGCACTGACTGCCCTGGGGCAGTGCCCACCGGGCCCACGGGCTTCAAGGGGCATCTTCTGAAGGAAGGGGATTTCTGCACAGACAGAAAGCAGTACATGGCCAACTCAGCACTGCTTTCCAAACTTCATGAAGTCTCCAATAAAAAAAAAAAAATCTTTTAAATTGCATCCCCATATATAATAAAGCCACGGAAGCACGCCAGAAATTTTATCAAACGGGGGGCGCCTGGGTGGCTCAGTCGTTAGGCTTCTGCCTTCAGCTCAGGTCATGATCCCAGGGTCCTGGGATCGAGCCCCGTGTCGGGCTCCCTGCTCAGTGGGAAGCCTGCTTCTCCCTCTCCCACTCCCCCTGCTTGTGTTCCCTCTCTCGCTGTGTCTCTCTCTGTCAAATAAATAAAATCTTAAAAAAAAAAAAAGAAAAAAAAATTTTATCAAACGGTATCTCTGTCTACCACACACATAACACTATTTATCTTTCATTTAATTCCGGGATACAGGAGTACCCCCAAAGTCTTAGTGCAGTTTTAAGTTTTAATAACTTGAGAAATGTAAATGCTACAAAGCTACAACACACATCCGTTGAATATTTACTTATTTAAATTCCTCTTATACTTAGCTTTCTGACATTTGAATGCCAAGTTTTTCATTTTAATTCTTTGTGCGTGCCGGAGTCCGGATGGGTAGGCAGGTGGAGGAGCCCTCTCCCATGGGCACCTTGGTGAACTGGTCAACCTCCCATGAAGTCATGTCCAGGCGGTCAGGTGTGCATCAAATCCTCATGTAAGATCAAAAGGCTGGAGTCACAAAGGTGATCCCTCAGTCACTGAACCTTGGGCCATGAATATTTTTTGGAAGTTTGAAAATCAACCAGAGCTGTATCTAGCACTGGACTGTGGTAATTACATGAATTTGAATGAGAAACATCAATATATTTAAAATGTAAATAACCTTTCCAATGTCATTTTTTGGTATGTTTTTAGCATTTATGCTTCTGAAATTATTAAAGCTGAAAACCACACTAAGACTTGGGTTGCACATTTAAAAAAAAAAAATCAGTAGCGACCTCTAAATTGCTTTCCTAACCTGCCAATGGGACCACAACCACAGTTTAAGAAACAGCACACTTCAGAAGTCAAGTGCAAGATTCAAATGTAGACCAGTCTCCCCCCGGGAGAGTGTTGGCAGGTCAGTCTTCACTGTGTCCCTCTGGGATGGTGGGGTCTGCCTCGGCTCTTGATGTTCTCACCTTGAATGGCAATTATTTGTGTAGATGTCTTCCCAACTGGATCATGAGTTCCTTGAGGAAGGAACTGTGCTTATTTCTCTTTTATCTTCGTGTCCCTCACACGTAATGGGAGAATCGACCCCTCCAGTCTCGATACTGGGCTATTTCTGGGGTCCAGCCCTGAATGGGTTAATGGCTGTTTGTCTCCCTTTTTTTCTTTTTCTCTTATTTAAAAAAAAAAGAAAATCAGATTTCACAGTTTAGAGACCCCTGTGTAGCATTCCTTAAATATGTTAGGAGTAATTAATGCATATCCATGTATATTATTAGAAAATCCAAATATACTGAAATATATCAGATGAACAGAGAAGGGCCGCCCCTCCCCCAAGGTAGCCCCGCCCCCAAAGGTAGTCACTGCTAACTACCTTTCGTGTCCTCCCAGAAAACCTTTCCTATGAGCATGGGGGTGCATTTCCATTTTTATATTTACACCAAGAAGATTGCCCCTCTCACATTGTGCTGCTCCTTGCTTTTTCACTCTTGGTGATTTAGCCCAATGCATTTCTCACATCAGTTTGTTTGGTTGCCTCCTTTTTAAAGCACAGTGTTGCATGGCGTATGCACACCGTGCCACGTTTAACCTGTTAATATCGTGGTGAGCACGTTAGCCAAATATATTTAACTGTAAGAGATTTAACTCTAAGGATGAACATTTCCTTGTTTCCAGTTTGGCGTGTTTTCTGCTGCACACAGAGTCCTTGTATAAAAACCTGAACAGGTGGTTTTCCAGTCCAGAGCAGATCCCCAGAAGTGGGTTTGCTGGGTCAAAGGGGTGTCTCCTTTTCCTGCCTCCCCCGAAGAGGCCTGCCCCCCTCCCCATAGCTACAAAGACGCTTTGCTGTGCAAAATCCTGGGGGGCATCACGGCGGCGCTCAGGGCAGCGCGACTCCCATCTCGGTGGTGCTGAGCTTGCTGGACGCTGCTAAGTGGAGAAGTCTGGCTCCTGCCTCCCGCCCCGCCCCTCCCGGCTGCATTTTGTGTGAGTCCCAGGAAACTCAAGGCCTTTTGGGGTTTGCCACTCATCACCGGCCATTGGGCTTGTGCAAACTTGCAGGCCAACTTCACTCGCCCTGTTTTGTGAGGGAGCCTGCTGCAGGCCGCTCCGTGCACCTGCCCTGGGAGCGGAGTCCCAAAGGCCTCGGCGTGCTGCCCTCTCCACCGCGGGTAACTTCCTCCTGGGTGTGCTTCCCTCTCTAAACCGGCAGGTGTGTCCGTATTTGCCCTCTGGCTTCCCCTCACAGTTTCCTGGGCCACGCCTAAAATCCCTTTAGCTGGAGGATCAGCGCATCCTGGTCCCCGCCCCCCCCCAGCATTCCTGCAGGTTGAAGTCACTCCTTCCTCCCAAGAAGGCCATCTTGGGACACTCCTTCCAGCCATCTGTTTATTGAGTCCATTGGTGGGAGAACGCTGGGCCTGAAGCAGGTGGAGCTCCAATTTTGGAAAGATGGACACTGAAACTGTTAGGGGTAGAAATGAGGTGCCAGGAGGCAGAGACAGAGTCTGTGCCCATGAGCGCCGCTCCTCTGTGATGACCCAGCCGGGTCTGGGCTCCAGATGGCCCGCCAGCCCTCCTCTTGTGCCTTTAGTTCTAGTCACTGGAGCAGGGGCGCCTGGGTGGCTCAGTTGGTTAAGCATCTGCCTTCAGCTCAGGTCATGATCCTGGAGTCCCGGGATCAAGCCCCGAGTTGGGCTCCCTGCTCACTGGAGAGCCTGCTTCTCCCTCTCTCTCTCTGCTGCTTCCCCTGTCTGTACTCTCTTTCTGTGTCAAATAAATAAAATCTAGTCACTGGAGCAGGGTCGGGGTGGGGGCGGTCCGCTGTCCTGTTACCAAAATGGCATCCAAAGGCTTTGACAGGCCACCCACCCAGAAAGCATAAAGGGACTGAGGTTCAAAGGTCAAAAGCACAGCTCCTTGGGCCACAGCTTCCCCCTTGTCATCTTGGCCACACAGCGTTTTCGCAGAGCTCATATGGCTTCCACCTGCTGGTTGACCGCCTGCCCCAGGGTCGGGTGGCTTTCGCCAAGGAGTCAGGCACCTGGATGACCGTATCAGAGTGAACCCTCTCGAGCTCCGGCGCCCGGTGCTGACTCTCTCCTTGTCTTGCAGGAAGAGGAGCAGGAGAAGGAGCAGGAGGGCCAGGAGGGCCCACCCCAAGCAGGGCCTGAGGAGGAGGATGGTGAGTGGGACCCAGCCTCCAGGCTGCAGCCCCCTGGCACTGTCACGTTTGCTCTTTCTGTCCCCACTTTCCTGTCTCAAACTTGAGTTGTCTTCGAATACGGAAGGCCCGTCTTGCCAGTAAATCGGGCACCCTGACCTTCCATTTCCTGCCCTGCCTCCTAGCTCCCCTCCGGTCACTGCTTGTGCATTTCAGTTTCTTGCCAAGTGTCTCCCGATCTATCTGATGGGGACGAAAGCCATTCACAGGGCCACTGCCCAGGCGTTCTGCACAATGAAGGCCCCAGGGGAGGAGACACCTGATTTCCAAGCAGCTCAGGCTAACTGGCCAGACCTCCCTGCCATCAGACTCTGGCTGGCCAGGACAAGCAAGCGGGAGTGACCCGGGAGCATTAAGAAAACTGACCAATTGGAACCTGACCGGGTGGAAGGCCGTGGGTTTGCCCTGGGCACCCCGAGGGGCCAGTGCCCTGGACAGACAGAGACAGAACCACACATGGTCTGGGTTTCTGCTGCGTCTGTCGTGTTTTATTTCTTTAAAAAAACAAAAACAAACAAAAGCAACATGTCAACACTTGTGAAATCTATATGGAAAGTACATGGAGGACTTATTACTTGTGCTTTTGTGTATGTTTGAAATATTTCATCATTTTTTTAAAAAGTGGGACTGTTGCCGTGGCTTTCAGCCGACTGCTGGCAGGGGCAGTGGAAAGAGCAGGTTGTAGGAATGCCGTGATCACGGCGGGTGTGGGCGTGTGGGCTGGCAGCAGGGCAGCGCTGGGGGGCCCACAGCTCCCCCCTGAGGCCCCATGGGGCTGGGGCTTCTCAGTACCGCCACAGAGGAGGAGGGAAGGGCGGGCAGCTGCAGAAGCGGGAGGGGGTCACCTGCTCTCTCTGGAGCCCTTGGTTCTCCTCCATCATCTGCAGGTTAGAGACGCACAGGAACTGTGGCTCTGGGGTCTGTCCCTGCCTCGTGGCCCCAGGTGGCTGCAGGGATGCCCGAAGTCAGGATCCTGTTAGTAACTCGGGGTCACAGAAAGGGGGAGCCGAGGCCGCCAGAGGACCCTGGCCAGGATGAGAAGAGGCTCACACCAGCCTCACACCCTGCCTGGTCAGGGGCCCTCCCTCCTTGTCTGACTGCCGCCCCCTGGACATCCCCCACCCCCCAGCCACCTCCTGCCAGCTCTGACAAGGCGAGGGAGGGGAGGTTTGTGGCCGCAGCTGTCCGAGGAAAACAGGAGCGGGCGCCCAGTCCTTCTGCAGTGAACAGCTCAGCTCTCAGGCTAATTGATTAGTGTTGCTCAGACACCCTCCCTGAGCGACCTGGTGACTCACAGAAGGCTGCAGGAGGAAGTCCTGCTCCTGGGAGGCTCTCACATCGAGACCTCCTGGTCTAGCAAAATTGGATGCGACTGTGTGTCCCTCGGTACACCACATACGATGTGATTAAGTGAAAGCCTTTTCTAGTCGTTTGTTCCGCCTGGCCCCAAAAACATCAGACTCATCAGACCTGCCCCATAAATGGAAACCTTGAGTCGTACCCAGCTGGCAGAATTTTTTATGTTTTATTTTTCTAAAACATAGCAACACAATGACCTTGACGTTGAGGTTAATTGGTTTTCTTTGTCCGGTGGGGCCAGCATCGATGAGCGTCGGTTGTGCGCTCATGCTGAGACCGCAATCTCTGTGTGATTCTGCCCCTCTGGCAGGCTTTTCGGGGCTTTCCAGACCACCAAGGACCCAGGCCCCTCAGACAGCAGCTCTGAATCACTCAGCAAAGTGCCCAGATTGCCTGATGCAGGCAGCCCACACCCGGTGCTGTTGGAAGCCCCCGAGTTCTGTGGGCCCACAAGGAATGGAACTCTCCCGCCTTTGCTTGTTGGCCTGAGCAGAGCTCAGCCTGGAGGAAGAGCCGACCAATGGGGGCTGGGGTCCCCAGTGAGGAGTGGTGGGGCTGCACTCCCCTGCCTCTGCACCAAGCCCCATCTCACCCGGAGGAAGAACCAAGCCCTCCTCCCCGCCCATGATGACCTGGCCCCTCTCTCTGCCACCCAGGGCCACCGACCTCCTTGCTTTGCTGAATCTGTCTCCCCAGACACCGCAGGGCTCAACTCACCACACCCCTCAACTACCATCTGCAAAACCCTTCCTGATGCCATCCCCACCCACCCCCAGTGAAGCTTCCAAGCAGCTCCCTCCCTGCCTCCCACACCCCCATCCTTTCTGCAGAGCACGCGTGACCAACTTCAGACTGCATTTGACTTATCTTTGCTTGCTGTATGTTTTATTCACTGCTAAGTCCCCAGCCCCTAGCATAGTGCTCACTAAATATTTGCAGAAAGAATGAAGAGCAAAGAAATCCTTGTACAGATGTAGTAACTTCTTGCTAAGGCAAAGCTTCAGCTCCTGGGCAGTTGGCCGGGGTGAGGGGACCACAGGAGGACTGTGGAGCCCACCAGCCTTCTCCTCCTGAGCGAGGTTTTGGAGAGAACACGGCCCCCATCGCGTAACATTTGGGTTCTGAATTTGCATCCAGAACCTTCTTCCTTCAGCCCAGAGAGAAGCTGAATCCGAGGGGCCAGGGCGTTTTCCTCCTCCCTGGGCCCACACCAGCCTGTCTGATCAGGCAGGACAGCCCCCAGCCGGAGGTGAGGGTGGCCTGGGGCAGGATGTGGAGGTGTTTGAGATTCCTGACGTTGGAGTGTCAAAGAGGTAAACTCTCTAGAACAGAACTGAAAAGGACTACATCTGTGTGGGAGGGTGATTTGCTGGCCTCCGCATTTCCCTTCCTCAACTCTTTAAGCCTTCCTGGGAATTAGACAAGACATTCAGTGTCTGTCCCGCGGGCGGCCGGAGGCCCTCTGCCCTACACCTGCTGGGCTGAAGGAGCACTTCAGGGCATCACTTCCCAAGGGGACTCTCTGCTCCTGGATGCTCAGCCCAGGGTGACGCTCTGGAGGGCTTTCCTCTCCTGCCCTGCAGCCCGCACCTGTGTGCCCAGCACCTGCCCTTGCTCCCTGTGTCACGTTTCTGCTTTCCTCTGCCCAGACCTCTGGTGTGCCCTCCTCAGGTCTTGAGAGGGTTTGTTTGTTTTAAGGCATCTAGGAGTCTGCTCTCAGAGGTTGGCAAATCCTGGTACACCTATTCAGTAATATGTGCCAATTTTGATGCCCAGATTCAAAATGATGTGAAAAATGCCACATCACTCCCATGTCCTACCGTGGGCTGGATGCATTGTTTCAGATTTCTAATCACTGGTGGGCATTCCCAGGCCCCGGAGCTGGAGGACCAAAGCAGGAGGCTCAGGAGTCCCTGTGAGTCAGGGAGCCCAGCACCCTGGCACAGCCTGCTCTGTCTGATGTGATTTGCCCCCCAGTAATGGGGGGGGCTTCAAAGACGAGGGTAGGCCATCCTCACAGACGGCGACTTGGTGGGAGCCTTTGCTAGAGAGGGGCAGCCAGACCGCCGTGTGGACGGCTCAACCCGGTTTTGGAGAGGAACCATCATTTGGTGGGTGGAGCTGTGCTGTTTGAGGAGGGGGACTGGTTTCTCCCCAGCTGTTTTGTTTTTGTCTCCGTATCCCCACCTGGAGTTCCTAAGTCGCCGTGGGACTTCACGGAAAGAGTGTGGGAGGAAGCCCTGTCAGGCGAGAAGAAACGTCGCAAGCACCCTCTCTGAGGCCCGGCAGCACCTGTGTGGGGAACTGGGGTGGAAAGGGTGGACGGGGGACCCCCTCTGGCCCAGACGGCCCTTTTGAAACTAACAAAAGGGGAAGAGGACCCTGAGTCTGGGGGAGGCCCCCAGCACTCAGACCCTCGCGCCGGCTCTGACCCCATCTCCTCTCTGCAGGGGGAGAGGTCTTCTCCTTTAAATACAGCCCCGGGAAGCTGCGGGGAAACCAGTACAAGAAGATGATGACCAAAGAGGAGCTGGAGGAGGAGCAGAGGTAGGCCGTGTACCTTCCTCTTCGGGCCGCAGGGCACCAGCCTCCAAGCCCTTACTGTCCTGCCCCCTGCGCACTCGGGGCGAGCCGCTACCCCCACCCGCTGCCACTCCCCCATTTTTGGTTTAGGGGATCTTTCCCGTCCTGGCTCTCCTCAGCCAGACTCGGTTTCCCCTGGAGACAGTCCCCGCTGGGGAGCTGGGGAGGAGGGCAGGGCGGCTGAGCCCCTCCCCTGCCCGCCTCGTCCCCACTGGAAAGGGAAAAGCGAGAGGCCGGGAAGAGCCTGGAGCAGATCCCTCACACGGGCGAGTTCATGACAAAACCGATCTATCACTGCAGGACAGGGCGCGATCCTCCCTGCTCCTCCATTTGGCAGCTCCCCTCCCTCCCGCCCCTCCTCGCCCAGCGTCTGCGGCCGGTTTGTATCTGTTCTCCCACACAACCGCAGCTGCCTAGCTTCTCAGCTTTACGGCCCGCGCCCCCGCCGGACACCCACTGAACACCCGTGGGCGTCCCTGCATCCCGCCAGGGTGCTAAGGAACACTCCGGAAGCAGCAGGACAGCTGGGGAGAGAACCAGTGGTCAGACCCCCAACCCAGCTGTCTCCTGCACGCCCCCTGGGCCGGCCTGGAGCCTGGCATGCTGTGCTTCAGTTCAAGCAGGAATCTCAACGGGAGCCCAGGCTGGGGTCCTACGATCACAGAGGACAGGAGGGCTTATTCGAATGCATAACTCACACACCCTTCCATTGCCTCTGGCCACGCCACTCAGGGTCCCTCAAGAGTCAGAAGCTGCTTTGCCTGCGAGAATCCCCACTTCCCCTCCCACCTGCGAGAATCCCCACTTCCCCTCCCACAGCTGTCACCTGCCCCTTCCAAAGCTGGCCTGGAAGGCTCTTCCCCTGGGGGCGGAGGGGTGGCAGCGTAGGCCCAGCCTGAGGAAGACCCGGAGCAGGGGAAGGTAGCCTCCAGGGGAGCACCCCCGCCCCGCCGGTGCTGGTGACCCTGCCTCTGAGTGTGACCCGGTTTGCTGCCTTTATATTTCAGGATTGAGCTGACCTCTGACCTCACTTCCCTGTAGCAAGTTCCTTAGGTCCTGAGCCACACATATTCTTGCAAATCCTTTTGGTAAGGAGACTGACTTCTTAGACCAGTGGTGCTTCCCTCCTCCTGTCTGGTAATGTGTCCCCAACATGAGTGTCGCGGTCTAAACCTCCCCTCCTCCGCCGCCTTCATAACCAGTTGATACATTCTGTGCACCGAGCGGTCTCATTCTTTGCTAGCACGGGGGTCGCTGTGTGACCCGGCCCCCCCCTCCCAGGGCTGCAGGGTTCTGGGAGCCCAGTGGTCGTAAGTTCCGGGTGGGCCTCATGGACCAGCTGGTGGGGAGCTAGCGCCCACTTGTGAGGCTGGGGCCGAACTGTCGTCCCCCTCAGGAACCGCTGGGTGTCGCCCTGCCACTTCGTCCTGCCCTAAGAAGCAAGCCTCGTGTGGCAAAAAAAAAAAAAAACCCTTGTGGTGGGACAGGCAGGTTTTCCGGGCCAGAGGAAGGAGTGGCGGACTGCAGCCCTGGTCAGTAAGCTCGGTGTGACTGCAGCACGGCCACTCTTTTTCCTGTGGTCTGTGGTGGCTTCCAGGCCGCTGTGGCCGGGGCAAGTAGTTGCAACAGAGAACACGTGGCCCACAGGGCCCAGTAGAGTCAGTATCGGACCCTTTACAGAAAACATTTGCAGCCCCTGGATTAAGAATAGGGAGGGCGGGATGCACCTGGGGTCCCGCAGAGGTCCCTGTGGACAGAGCTGTGGCCAGGACAGGCCTGATTCCGGGGGCTCGGGCAGGTGCTCCCTGTGGATGTGAGGAGCCACTGGAACAGAAAGGACAGTTAGGGGACAGATGTCAGGCCTCAGGCTGCGGGGTCAGATGGCCACCGTCCCTGGGCTCCGAGCCAGGACCTCGGGAAGAGGGAGGGAAAGTCTCTTCTCTGTTATGATTAGACAGCAGACTCTGCATCGCCCGGGGGGGGGGCGTCTTTCCCCGACAGGGTCTTGGGGGGCCTCTCACGCACCGATTCACGCTTGGCTCTTCCGTGGGGTGGAGACCGTGCCCTAGGACTGCTCTTGGGGTGGAGGAGGAGCTCTCCCCTCCTCACCTGCACGCTGTGCCCCAAGTTGAGAAGGAGGGGCTGGTGGACTTCGCGGCCCTTAAACACGGTCCTCACTCAGTGTGATGCCGTCCTCACGGGGTGGAGCTGGAGTTCATGTTCATTTTCATTCCTGCCCTTCCCCAGCATGCTCCCCGCAGCTGTCGCACGCATCCACCTGTGCCATGTGCTTGCTGTCTCCTGCCCCTGCATGCAGCCAGCCCACAGGGCACGGCGTGGGGCCCCTTGACTCGCACCCCTCTCGCAGCTGCTTCTGTCCCTCTCGTGGTGATGCTTGGGGTTGCAGAGGCTGGCGAGTTTGGCTCCGTCCCTCATCTACAGCACAGTAGTTCCCGTGTGGCCCGGGAGAGCCGGCGGGCGCAAGCTCCTTCTGGTCCCAGCTGAGTCTAGGAAATGGCCCTAGGAATGCCAGGGTGAAAAAGAACATGTATATTGTTGTCAGACCACTGAAACCACAGGCCAGGGAAGTGTGCCCTTTTCTTTGCCTGTCTTTCCCACCAAACTCTGCCTGTTCCTAATCCCTTTCCTGGCACTCTGGGTCCCAGTTCAGTTGCAGGCTAGTAAAGAAATAAATGCTGCAAGTCCCTGACTTTAAATTTATCAACTTAGCCAATAAAGCAGTAGTAGGCAGAGCCCGAATCCTTAGTGGTCACATGATCCAGCCTCCCCTAAAGCCTCACCTTACACATTTTCAGGGCAGAGCACTTAGGAAGCAGGACTAAAATCAAGACCCCAGATCGTTCCTCTGCGTGTTTAAATGAACATTCCCATCCTTGGAATCGCTCGTGGGTCAGCTTCCTTCTGCCCTAGGGGCTGAAAATGGCCGGGTTTGCGAATCCAGAGCGGGTTGCTGCGTAAGGAAGGCCCTGCTCTGTCACGGCCTGCCCCCTCCTCCAAGGCTTCTCCTGGGGGCTCGGGGCTCACGGCATCCTTGGCGTTGCCAGGCCTGGCTGCCAGGGTGTGCGCCCCCACCACAGTCTCCCTGGGAGGTGCCGCGTCTAGCTTCAGAGTGTGGCTGGGACAGCGGGCTTGCAGGCTACTGACGCTCCTCCGGCTCCCGGAGCCAGTGAAGCTGGAGAGCTTGGCAGGAGAAAGAAGCAGCAGCCCTGCCCATTCCTGTCCTCCTTGTGCGCCATCTGTTCTTCCCACCCTCTGGTCCGGAGGAAAGCGTAGACCAGGCTGGCTCTGATAGATGGGAACCTGGGACCCCAGCACCCACTCCTTTCTGAAGGTCCTCAGAATGTCCTGACCTTTCTGGAAGGGGACACGACTCTGGTGGAGGGTGTTTTGTACATCATCACAGGAAAGGGGGAGAGGAGGCCGGGGAACCCAGGCTGTGCGATATTCTGGCGTCTGCAACCTGGTGAGTCCACGAGGGATTTGCCAGTGTCAATGTTTGGAAACACGTGTGTCTCTGATCTCCAGAAGAGGGCGCCGGAGGGACAAAATCGGATCCCCTGCGATTCCTCGTCCTTCGGGGTGTCATTTAGAAAAGGTGGACACGCAGCCTAGGGTGCCAGTGTCCCCAGCGGGGACAAACCCCGCCAGCGGGAATAGGGAATAGAAGCACGTGATAGGATGGCCCCAGTAGCCAAAGATCAGAAGCACCCAGTATCTGCCCTAGAGTCCGCCCTGCGGACCTGCCCAGAGGTAGGGTCTGCCCGACCTAACTGTATGCCTCTTGGACTCCAGACTCAGAATGGGCTGCGGCAGGCTGCTGAGGTCCCTTGCCGGGTCAGGCCAGCTCTGGGGAACAGAGTGTCCTACTGCAGGTGACGAGAAGCAAACTGCCCCGTGTCTGAGAAACCAGTATCCAGCCTGGCGTCTGCAATCCCAAACATCCTCCTTCGCATCCCTGTTTCCCATTTCCTCCCCCACAATACTTGTTAGATGGAAGAAGTAAAATAAATGATCTTTTCTCCCTATTTCTCTTTACAGAACCGAAGAATAATGAAGTTATCCTTAGCCTCCTGCTAAAGGCTTTTCCTTTTGGCATCTAAAAAGCTTGAGAGATAAAATGGAAATCCCCAGAGTGGAGCCATGCAGGCTCCCAGGTGCCTCTGGCCTGCATAAATCCGCTGGGACCCAGACCCTCCATCAGGACCTGTCCCTCAGCGGGGAGGGTGCCGGGAGTGCCTCGGCCCCCGGGGTAGAGGTGTTCCTCCCTGTTGGGGTGGATTGCTTGGTTCAGCAAGGGTTTCGTAGACTTTGGTTTTTATCGCTGAACCCTGCTGTCCACTCAGCCTTCGCACCCGTGATGTCAGCAGTGACAGCCACCTTATCATTTTTAAACCAGTGTAGCTTCACTCCAGTGCCCCCCACCCACCCCCAGCCCACACTGGCCTTTTCCTTCCCTGGAGCCAAACCGAGAAAGACTGAAGCATTCCAGACAGCTGAGGCAGAGCTCCTGTGCTCATCAGCTGCTCAGGGATGGTGGACTGTCCTCCTTTCCTGGGGGCCCACTTCCCTCTTTCTGTCTGGCGGCTCGGCTGTTGGGGGTGAGGGACGCCTATTGATGGCCCCACAGCAGGGAACCAGCGACAACTCTCTAGATCTGTGTCACCCTTAGTCTTCATTTAGAGGAAGCTGGAATCTGGGCCTCTAGTGGCTCAGAGGCCTTTTCGCTCTTACCAGCTCAGCCGAATCTCCACGTTCGCTTTGGCAGAAGCAATAAGAATAGTCTGCTTGAAATAGATTTCTTGACTATGCCGTTTCCTAGAAGGTGTCATAGAGAAGTTAGAATTTCACCAGATAATGAGATCAGTCCCAGATCCATTTCTTGGAATTTTATATTGGACAATATTTATATTATACCAAACTAATCTGCAGTTTTTAGATGTGTTGGTTAAAACATTTTTTTAAAGCAGTAAGTTTATAGAAAAATTTTTTCCATTTAATGGAAGGCTGGGATGCCAACCCCTAGGGCATGTTACATTCCCAGTGACCTTCTTCTCTGGGCCTAAAAGCTTAGGCTCAGGGCCGTGGTGCAGATAAGGCAATGGTGGGCGAGCCACGTGACGAGTAGACGCACGCTTGTTGGCACACCTGTCCATACACAGCAATAACAGCCTTATCCAGGCTGGGATCTTACTGTTAACAGTAAGTAGGTGACGCCCTCCAGGTTAGTTATCGAACTAGTTAGCTGTCTGGAATCTTTCTGCACGTGGCTTGTAGGCACCAAGCCTCACGTACTCCTGATGGCTTGGATCTGTGTATTCAGCCTTTGTTCAGCCCAATAAACTTTGAGTAGATGATCTCGGTTACTGTGTGTTTTTTCAGTTTTGCTTTGTTTTTAAGAAATAATCTCCTTTGAACCCATTAAAATTTGAGCTCTCTCATTTTGATGCCTATTACTCTCTAGCAGAGTACAAGTCATAGGTCCACCCTGTTAAAAATGCCCAGGTGCTACAGCCATCAAAAATATCTGAGAATTTGTGTTCACTCTGGGCGGGAGGGATTGTGATTCCGTCCAAGGAGCTCAATGCACACTTCCTCCTCCAGAGAGGAAAACGGACTGTAGAAATCACACTCCCAGGGTGACAAAGTGAGGCTGGGATTTGGGACTTCAATATTTGAGTCTCTAGATGCTGCTCTAGCCAGAAAACCAACTTCTGGATGGGAGGTATGGGGTTCCTGCAGGAGGAATCTGTTGGGATGCACGTGTAAGACCAGACGTGCGGACCCCACCCCGCCTCAGGCAGTGAGGCCTGCTGGATGGCCAGAGGTCGCGTCAGAGCCCAGCCACGCGGGACCTGCCATTTTTTGGCATTTCTCGCTGCAGGGAGGGGCTGAGAGGGCCGGGGTGCAGGGTGTGGTGGCCTGGAGACACCACAGAAGCCAGAAGCCAGCCGTGCTGACAGCCCCGCACATGGAGCGGAACAAGCAAGCCCCACACCGTCCCTGCTTTCTGCTGCCGTCCTGCCCCGACCTTGCAAAACGTTTGCGCTCCTGGGAGTTGTGCTGTGCCGGTCAGATGGTGTGGCTGAGCCTCACAAAGACAATAGCACGTCAGTCCCAGCTGCCCAGCCCGTGCGGGCCAGTTCTATGGTAGGAGGGGCAGGGCCCCACCGGCCACAAGGTGTCTGTGCTAATCAGGAAAAGGCGCTCCTTCCTCTGAGCAGTGAGACCCCCATGCCAACCCTGCCCCCCAGATCAAGCCCCCGTGTACACCTCCGCGTGTGCCCGCCAAGTCTCGGCTGGTAATGGTTTTTGTCCGCATCCCTCTAAACCGAGGCTGTCGTTAACCTGTTTCTTCATGGGCTCGCTCTCCAGCCTCTTAACAGAACGGGCCTCTCCCCATTACCTCCCGGGACGTGCCAGGTCAACGCTAAAAGGGGGCCTGAGGGGAACCCACAGGGTCACTCGGGTCCTCCCCAGACCCGCAGGGAACACCCAAGACGTAGAGCCGGCTTTTAGAACCTTCCAGCTGAGGTCGTTCGGCCACACGAGCTCGTGGGTTTTGAGTGGGTTTCACTTCGGTTTGATTTTCTTCTTGTCCGGGAGAGCAGACGCGGCAGCAGCCGAGAGAGCAGGGCCCCAGCCCCGGGCGCACGTGGCGACCCCCCCCCCCCCGTCCAGGCTCGGAGCACCCTTTTCCTCTCTGTCCTCTCTTCCCCACAGAGTGCAGAAGGAGCAGCTGGCTGCCATCTTCAAGCTCATGAAGGACAACAAGGAGACGTTTGGGGAGATGTCCGCGGGCGACGTGCAGGAGCAGCTCCGGCTCTATGACATGTAGGCGGCCCCGGCCCTCACGCGCAGACGTCAGCAGGCTCCTTCCCGTCCCCACGCGTAGCTGTAGAGGTGGATGACACACGGATCGCGCAGTTCCCACAGTTAGGCCTCCTTTTACGGGAATCGGGATCCTTGTCGTCAGAGTTAGACTTGTTTGCTAAGAGCATGCTCCCCTCCTGCTTCCTCCCATGCACTTACGGAGGCTTCCAGAAAGCCTTCTGAGGCAGAATGAGGGTGCAGTGTTGTTAGACTGGACACCCAGGCAGCAGGACCTGTTACCCATCTTCCCTACAGCACCCCCGAATCCTTTCCACACCAGGTGTCCGGGGTTGGGGGGGGTGCTGTGCCCAGGGGTTCGAGCTGCTGCCTGCCCCGACTCGAGCGTCCTTTTAGCAAAAACCCTAACTCAACACCCACCTTCCGTGCTGGAACAGATCAGTGTAATCAGAGCTGAGACCCGCGAAGAGCTCCTCCCATTTAAGCATGAGACTTAACTTTCCATGTAAGGAAGGGAGGCTCATTTGAGTGCTCATCACGCACCCGAGACCATGCTCGCTGCTAGGGAGAGACATCAAGGATGCGACGTGGTGCCCACCTGTAGGAGGATGAAGGTCCTCCAGATGCTAGGGAGAGACATCAAGGATGCGACGTGGTGCCCACCTGTAGGGGGACGAAGGTCCTCCAGAGAAGACGGGCATGCGTGCAGGGAAAGAGCATCTCCCCAGACAGCATGCAGGAAAACACCAAAATGACCTGGCGGGACAGTGTCTGGGACACCTCGGGCTCAGTAGGTTTCCAGGAGTTCAGCCAGCGCAGGACGAGGCGAATACAGCAGCTCCTCCATGCCGCACGGGCCCTGTTTCTGCTCACCCCGTTGGCAGGAAAACTCATAGCAAACGGAGTTAGGGAGGGTCTGCTGAGGAGAGAACCTATGAAGTTCTTATAAATATTTTGTATTTGCCGAAATAAAGCTAAATCAACACAGCGAACTCAAAGAAGCAGTGGCCTTTTGCGCACCTGACATTAGTGATGGCGGGGGTGAGTTACTCTCCTTCCTTCCTCTCACTCGCTACTAGAATTCTCCCTGAGCACCTCCCCTGCCTGTGGCTGTGATTCTTTTGCTTCCTTGCTGACACTCTGCCCAGGAGGAGGGTCTGCTCTTCTATCCCAATGTTGGTGGTTCTTTCTTTTATAAAATTTATCTTTTTGTCACTGCTTTTTTTTTTTATTCTGATTTTAGAGTTCTTTGGTCCTTTAGTCACCTCCCAGGGACCCCTTCTCCATCATTGCATCTCCCCACCCACTGGGTGTGCTCGGCGGGCAGGGCCACCACCCCCGGGGGGCCGCCCTGCCCATCACGTTGCCCTGCTGCCAGATGATGGCCCTTCCTCTTCTCCTGCCTGGATCCTTCCTCTCTGATTATACCAAACACGAAGGACTCGTGCGAACTTGAGTCAAAATTCCCACGGCTATGGGAAGTAAACTCAAGGAACTTTCGTATCCTTGGATCTGCTAAGATGTTCCAACAGCAAGGAACAGAAAGCTCCGACTCCGCCGGCTTACACCAGAGAGGAGCTGGGTTACGGAGGAGCCCAAAGGCAGAATGGGCCCACACGGCCGTCCCCGTGGCTCAGAATTCCTCGAGCTGTGGGCTCTGTGGCCCACTAGCTCTCCTCAGGCTTGCAAGGCGGCCGCAGGAGTTCACGTGTCAGGTCCAGATGCAGGAAAACGGCCGTCTCTGACTTGTGTCTCTAGGAGTTAGGAAACTGGTGCACCTGCACCCCCCACCTCCTTTCAGGTCCCAATTGGCCAGAATATGTCATGTGTTCATGCCGCAACCAATCTCCAGCAAGGAGATGGGCCAACCACGGTTAGCTGAGGTACCTGGGGCTGGGGCCGCATCCCCTGAACACAGGGCCATTCACAGGAGCAGAGAGCTGGACCCATCAGGATTCTCTGAGGAAGGGATGGGGGAGGTGGTTGCTGCGTAGACACCAGGACCACTCTGTCACCTGGTGGGGACTCGAGAGCCTCTGAAGTATGCTGCATACAGCACCCTGCACACCTCCCGGGTGGGGGTCCTGTTGCCCAGGTTCCACACTGGGCCTCTGATCGTTCAAGGAAGCACTGCCGACTCACTGGGGCTGTGGGGGTGGCTCTGCCGCCATTTCCAGATGAGTGTCCACCTGTGTTTATACCATTCCTGTCACCTCATCCGCCTCACTGGGGTGCCCTCGAGTCCATCTGTGGCCAAAAGAGTCCTCTCAGAACCCACTTCAAACTCATCCCCATGTGTCCCACCAGATAGCAGGACTGCTCTGGCTCAGGAAACTCAAAAGTGCCTTGGAACAAATGTACCTGCAGATTCAGAACCCAATCTGAGAAGTTTCCTGGAGTTCTAAGAGTCAATGGCAAGGCCATAACTCACAACCACAAGGTGCCATCCCACCCTGCAAGCTGAAAGCAAGAGGAGACCCCCTTGTTTACAGCGTTGGGTGGAAGAAAACCACCTTGATACCATTAGGGCCACTAAAAAGCATAAGGTGCGGGAGAAGGAAGCAGCAGGACCGGAGGGAGAGAGCAAACATGGTGTGAGCCTTCTGTAAGGCAGGCCATGGCAGGATGCCACCAACGTGGCACCACCGACGTGGCACCACCGTGCGGGGCCCAAAGCCACGGGAGCTGACAGAAGCCAGTCTGAAGACTGTCCAGTCTGGGGCTTGAGAGACTTTCAGATGCCCAGAGTCTCCGCCCTCCCCCTGCGCCCCCTCACCACTCCGCCCCGGAGCCCTGTGCACAGGCTGGCCTCCCTACGTGACACAAATAGCCATGGCTTGTCACCCATCACACACGTCACACACCCGCGAGAAACCAAGTCCACAGACAATTCATTTCTATTTACCAAACTCTGCTTGCTAGAAACTTTTCAGGGCCACCTTCCTTCAAAACGTCCGTTGTAGGGGCGCCTGGGTGGCTCCGTCGGTTAAGCAGCTGCCTTCGGCCCAGGTCATGATCTCAGGGTCCTGGGATCGAGCCCCGCATCGGGCCCCCTGCTCAGTGGGGAGTCTGCTTCTCCCTCTCCCTCTGCCCCCACCCCCACTTGTGCGTGCTCTCTGTCTCAAATAAATAAAATCCTAAAAAAAAATGTCCATTGTAACTGCCACCATCCAGACTAAATTAGGTTGTCTCCTCACTTCCTGTACTAAAAATGGCCGTGTTGAAGAAAACGTGCAAACTAAGCAGCTTTAAGGGCAGCCTGAAACCTAAAACCTGGAGCAACTTTGCTGTGAACTCCTTGCGCACACAGCTCTTTTTTCCCCTTTTTGGATGATTTGTACTTGTTCTCAATTTTTTTTTTTTTTAACTACTCTTTACACCCATTGTGGGGTTTGAACTCATACCCCTGAGATCGAGTCACACCCTCTATCGACTGAGCCAGGCAGGCGCCCCTTGTTGTCAATTTTTTAACATTTGAAAATGAAAATAGTTTTCCCAAGAATAGATCACATTGAATTTGTTTTGT